AAAATATCGTCTTGCGGGTCACAAATGGCTTGCGGGCCGCGAGTTTGAGACCCCTATTTTAGATGTTTATTTATTAATATTCACGATTATCTCATTTTTTATAAAAAGAATGTAAATATTTATACTTTCCCTCATCATTTTCGATGTATGCAGATGTATGCGAGATCGAATTTCAAAATAACTTAATATTACATTTTCGGTTTCGGCTTCGGTTTCGGCCGAAATTCATTTTTAATATTCGCCTTTTTTCGGTTTCGGCCGAAAGTCATTTTTAAACCTTCGGCCTTTTTTCAGTTTCGGCCGAAAGTCATTTTAAACTTTCGGCCTATTTTCGGCTTCGGCCGAAATCAGAAAATCACTTTCGGTCGGTCTCTAATTCTGAGTAAACAATCCCGATTTGACAAAAACCCTTCGTTGTTCAAGCTGCCTATGATAGGGTGACCAAATCATGAACTGGAAAAAACGGGACAGACCCAAGGAGGGTTTGGGGGGATACCCTCCGCCTCCAGCTAAAGAGGGGTCCGGGGGCCTCCGCCGGAAACTCTTTATTGAAATATGCTAATTTTAACACTTTTGAGACCTAGAAATCTTTTTAAATTGACCTTCACTCTTTTAATTTAATTTAAACTGAGGCATATCATAAACGAAAACAATAATTTTGCAGTGAATAGGCCAGGGACACTGCCTTTTACGCAGCGTCGGCAGAGTGGTAGAGGGGGGAACAGTGCACCCATCACGCGAGCCCTCATCACTACTGGCACTGGCTACACAGCCCGAATATTACCCTACTTGAAGTTATATTATAAATTAGGAAGTTTTAGTGAATTGAAAATGTGTTTGGTTTTAGAAATGGGACCATTTAGGCGTCCCGAGAGACTTTTTCGGGTCACCGGATATGATCGTGACAAAAACAGCGATTTACTAGGGTTGCCAGATACGTGGACACCAAAAGGAGGACATAATAAAACAAAAAAGAGGACAAAGGAGGACATTTTGACATTTGAATCGTCCCGGATTCAACTCACAGTCAGCACAATTTTATTGTAAAGGCTGCAAATTAAGTGTATCTTACTCTTAGTGAATCGACCAAGAAACAGTCACGTTAAAAAAAAAAAAAACTCAATGGACGCCTTTTTCAAAATGTCCAAAAAACATCATTTAAATAGCCAATTGTACAATCGTTGCCTTGCAATCTTTATTAATTACATGACACATTTCTAGGAGGAGCCAACTTTTCGCAGAAGATCCTCGTTAGCAATCACATAATATGCATAAAACTGTTCACAGGTAAGATTCTTCAAATTGTACATTGTAAGAATGATGCCCTTTACAGAGTCGAGTAAGAGTCTATGCCTTTCCTTTGTCCATTGAGCATTAATCAAGGAGAACACTCTTTCCACATCGCCATTGTGTCCAGGGATACAGAAGAAAAATGTACACATTTTAAGTAACTATGAAAAGCAACATGCATTTGGGCAACTTTGGAAAAATAAACTCCACTGTTCATGCAAGAGTCTTTCAAAAAACGGTTCATTTTTGTCTTGTACAAATAAATGATTCAAGATTGCAGTATTGGTCAAACAATTGCACATCATCTACAATAATACCGTGCTCTTTCACATATAATATGCATGCCAAAAGGTCATCAAATTCACAGTCTTTGATTTATCTAAGTACATTCAATTAAAGCATTGAAATTTATCAAAAGGTTTCAACCATTTTTCAAAGTAACTATAACTAATGCATGCTTCATACACCAACTTAACATCTGCCATAAAATTATTATACTCTTCTTCTCGACCACTTTAAAATTTTGACCATAGATAATACTGCACATAGCTAGATTGTTAGAATGACTAAAAATCGACTGGTTCGCAGAAATGCATAGACTTTGTACATTGTAACAACGTAAACATACGATGTAATAGTTGTAACAGCGATACATAAAAATTATAATATAAAATGTAAGAAAAGCCGGACATTTTACAAGATTTTAGCCCGACGGAGAATATTGAGCTAAAAAGGAGGACATGTCCTCTTTTGCCGGACGTCTGGCAACCCTAGATTTACGGGACGTTTGGTCACCCTAGCATATGATCATCGAAGAAATTAATTCCTTAATATGTGAACTTTAACTTTACCTTCAGATTGCAAAAGTGGTCGTACAGTTTCATCTCATCCAACTCTTATTTGAAAATAATTAAATGAAAGGAATAAAATCTTCATGTTTGTTCATATCTTAATGTTTTTGGCAAATAAATCTCTTGAGTTATTGTGTATAATGGCAACGGTTTTGAATACTTTTATTTTAACAATTCACAAACATTTTCAAAAAGGAAAAGATTTGTTTTAGATTGATGGATCAAATTTATTTTAACCGAAAGAGTGGGGCATAATCTTCATTTTGGGTGCCATATTTAATATGGCATGATGGCCTTCTAAGCCTATGCCTTAGGCTAAGCTCTTGGGACTCTGGGACTTGAAGCCCCAGCGTGACCACATGTTAGGTCGCCTTCACAATGACCAAATTAAAAAAGAAACACACAGCCTACTGATAGTAAGAAATTGCGTCGGGAGGTTGGGGGAGGGGTGCGATAGAAGTACGTGTAGGCTACATGTAAACTAAAGAAGTAAGGTTGCAAGTTCGCGCCTTTTCTTTTATTATTTCTTCCGTTTCATTAATAAACGGTTTACTTTATCTTGCATTCCAAATTTTAGAAAATCAGTTTAACAGAAGATTTGGGCACTTCCGGCGTAACACGTTCCTTTGTGGATGACATAGTTTATATAAAAATATTTGTTCGTTGTAAATTTTGCAAATATATAATTACCATGCAAATTACCATAACAACATTATCTGATCAGCTTTTTACGATTGAAGTTAGTGAAGATCTTGAGTTAGAGAATTTTAAAGCGCTATGTCAAGAAGAAACTGGTGTCCCTGCCCTAGAAATGTCGATAGTGTGGAACGGGCGACCCCTTCATGACGACAAACTGACTTTGAAGCAGTACGGAATTCAAAATGGAGAAATGGTTCTAATTCAACATCTACGCGGTCAAATATCACAATCGCAAGCCGCAGGTCATTCTAGATCAGGTAGATCATTTAAGAGAACAAAATTTGAATAGTTCACTTTGATTTAGTTTGTTTTTAATTAACTTTTTATTTACAGCCTAGGCCCATCCTTTTTTACTTTTTTTTTTATACTAATCATGCCCAATGAGTATGAGGCCAGTGCTGCTTGAATGAATGAATAACATTGAATGGATGGGAAATACTGACGGGAGGGGGGGGGGGGCTTCTAATCAATTCATTTGTAATAAATAATATTAGAGATGTAGAAGTATTATTTTAAAAATTGAATTAATTTTTATAATATTTGTACTTTGTTTGGCTGGGCATTTTTAATAAAATTTAAAATAATTGTTATTGTCACCTTCACCTGGACTATGTGGAATGTTAGCCTATTTGAATTTGTTTAATCATATTTCCTGCGCAACCTACTTCTCATTCGAGTTAAAATGATAAATCAATTTAAAAAATAGTCGGTAAATTATTTGAGATCGTCCCACGAATGCCGCCATCTTGGTTTACACAACCAGTTAATTCTGTCACTAAACCTAAACCAAATGTATCCCTAAACCTAACCTGAACCCTAAATGAATGTATCCCTCAACTTAACCTAAACCCTAATTCACTGCAACTATAATAAACACGCAAAGGACGTCATGGGATGATCTCTAAGAATTAGCCAAATAGTCCATTAACAGTTTGCTGTGGTTCACTCAATCACTGCACTTCAATACATGACCTACTACTACTACTTCTACTATAACTGGTACTACCAGCAAAAACCGGTAGTCATTCATTCATCATCCTTCATCACTTCAATTGCCAGTAACATTTCCAAGTCAATGGAGTTAGTGGCTGATAGTGGTGTTACTGTTCAAATGTATAATAATTTGGGGTTATCTTGCAGTTCAGGTGCGTATATTATTTCTGATCAAATTTTGTATTATTGCGTGTAAACTTATGTGTATTCTTTAGAAAATTTAGTCCAGACAGTATAGTTATAGTATAAGTTAGGCAGTTAGCCCTAAAGTGTACAGCAATAACTTTTCTTTTTATTATTTTTACAGCCCCCATTGGTACATAGCCAGTAACGTGACGTAAACAATCTCTCCATATTCTTATTTTTTAAAATTCACCCTACATGCCAGATTGAAATTGTTCAACTGAAAGCATCATTCACAAGAAACAAAACAATAAATTAGATTTATATTAAATTATACCAAAATTATTTATTGATGCTTAACTTTTAAAACTAAAAGCATGTTCACAAAATAAATTTATATACAATTGGCGTGTATATTGGCTAGTTTTAGGAAAAATTAAAAATATGAATACGAGTTCATTAAACTTCAGTACCAGTTTTTAAATATGGATAATCAAGTGTATGTTATTATGTGTAGTAAGTTTGATCTTGTTCCATTCACCCATGCCCATGCAGGATCCTTTGATTGGAATTATATTTATACACCTCACATAAGAGAGAAAAAATTTGGGCCCCTATAAAATAATGGAACATCTAATTAAATTTGAAAATTTCGTTTAACATACCAACTTATAGGTGATCAAAAATCTGGACACAGGGTTAAAAAGTACAAAAAACGTGGAGCTAATGGTTGGGGGATGTTCAAAGATGCTTTAGATATAAACTAAAACGAAAATAAGTTCAGTATTACTATTAGTTAACTATCACTGCCTGGATTTAATTTAATGACAAAATTCTATCAGAAATAATACACGCATCTGAACTGCAAGATAATTTGGCTTAAATTAACATGCTTGAGTGCTTTTATTTTGTTGAGCATTAAAACCAAAACTTTATTGCTTTGCTTCTAAAAGAAATTCTCAAATTATTTAACTTAAATTACTTTGCATTAAGTTATATTATTGCACTTTTTCTTGGTATTTGAATTTCTCTTAATTTTAATTTGTTTAATTTTTCACCTGACAATCACTGACATGTCAATATCAATTAAATTTTTTATTGAAATTATTAACAGGAATTCCAAACATTGACTTTGGAAGCATACGTTTGCCAGGTGGCTCACAGCAGGCACAAACTAGACGTGAGGATGATCCAGCCTTTATTAGGGAAATGCTTCTTGCCAATCCAAGTCAGCTTGCCTTGTTAAAGGAAAGAAATCCACCATTGGCAGAAGCTTTGCTAAGTGGAGACATGGGTAAATATTTTGTATCATCATCAATTGTGCTAATCAATCCTACTGATTTTGGCTCTTTTTGCAGTTTTTTTTATGTTTAATGTTCATACTCCTAGTATAAAATTATTGTTTTTTCATACTCCTAGTATAAAATTGTTTTCTTGCAGCTAAATTTACTAAAGTCTTTGAAGAGCAAAGACAGGCAAGAATTAAAGAAGAAGAGAAGAGGATACGGCTCCTGTCTGCAGATCCATTTGATCCTAATGCACAGCAGCAAATTGAAGAAGCAATCAGGTATAATATCAGTGTGAAGCATATTAGACAAAATATTGCGCCTTAAAAATCCACACCCCGCCAGACCCATGTTTCGGTTTCCCATACCCTACCATAGATCGAAAGCCTGTATATTAAATATTTTGTAAATACTAAGTTCAGGTTTTATCACGTGACTTGAAAAAGGTCATAGTAATTGCCGCGCCCATGAATGCATTGTTTTTGTTATGTTTTAGTATTTTTCGATGTATAGAGGTGACGAAAATAGAAAAATTGCTATTCTAAAGGACTCAAACTAGAGTAGTTGATAATGAAAATAATGAAAAGGATTATTATTGTGTTTTGAAAAAGGATTGAAATAACGCAAACAGACAATGAAAGTGACGATCAAATGACTTAAATTTCTAGTGTTATTGATGTACTTAGGGTCTACCCCAATTTCAAGCCAATGCTTTTATGAAAAATCAGGGTTGTATAAATGACCTTTTACTATGCTATTTTACACCATTTCTAAGACAATTTTCTCCTTGTAAAATTTTGTATTATACTTATGGACTACTAACAGACAAATTTAGAATGGAATAAATAATATGTATTGGATTTTATAATCAATTGATTTTGTTTTTTGCTTGTTTGTCAGTTTGTAGCATTTTCCCCCATGAACCCAGGGGCATGGGTATTTTAGGACCAGGAGCCAAGGGTTCAAAGGGTTAATATAGGATGGAAATCGTAATTTTTTTTTTCAATATTTTTTTCTATGGAGCGAGAATGGCAATATGCTTTAAAGTGAACTCATTCGCAATTTAAACATAAATATGAACACCCCATGACAGTAAAATTTTCTCATGGTAAACCATGACCTCCAGATTTACAACACATTATTATAGTGTGTAATATTGATATTTAGTTTATTGAACTGAAGATACTAGGTTTGCTATTGGATTTTTAAAAATCTTGATAAGACATTAATCAGGATGGGGTCAATGCACAATTGGTCCAGATTATCAGTGTTTTCCTGAAAATTAAAGACAATGACATTATTTGTACTTAAAGTCCATACGATAATAAGTTATACATTCAGTGGTGGTGGTGTTTGAAATTGTTTTAGGTTAACCAAAATACTATTATTCTTATTTCTAAAGCTTGATGTAATTAAGTGCAATTTTTAACTTTAACTTTAAGTACAAGCATTATTAACTCAGCATTAATTTAAATAGATTTAGCTAAATACATAATTGTTACAGTTATTGGAAACAATTATAGAATACATGGTAACAACTTACTTGATTGCTTTTATATCCAACATAAAAGTACATCAGAGCTGAAATTTAAATAATGCATATTCATTGTAGGATAGCTGTTTCTTGTCTCTCTGTGAATTTTTTGGTTTATCACTTAGCCATAGTCTTTTTGTCATCAGGTTGTGACAAGTGCAGTCTGTTATGGAAAAGTCACATTGCACTTTTCCCGGCCTGTTGACGTGAAGATACTAATCAGTATGGCTCGTTGAATTGGTTATTTTATAAATGCCCTGGAGCGATTATTTGTTAAATGCCTCTGGTACACCTATTTTATACATAAGTGGACAATGAAGGAGACTGACAGGACAGTGCCATCATATTTCAAATGTTTATCTTTGATAAATGACAATTTGTACTTGAAAAGGAAAATGCTTCTTTCAGTTTAGCAGTATAAGATTAATTGTAGAAGTTCCATGTGGATTGATAACAAATTATAAAAAAAATTATGTGAGATGCTGGACATAAGATGGCTAGGATATGGCCTAATGCACACTATTTTAATTCAATACTGCACATTATTATTATTACGTAATGCCTAATGATGTAGGAGTTGTTATGCTCCTAAACTATTATTTTTAAAAGAACATACAATACCTTGGTTCTGGCAGGTCTTGGTTAGTGCAAATTTGTGAAGATCTGAATCAAATTGCACTTACCCCGGCCTGTTATAACCATTTACTTTCACAAAAATATTGTTTTTCTTTAGTGTACATCTGTTCATTGATGCGAGTCAGACATATAAAGTGCATGCAGTGAAGTTGGATGTTTGTTGTATGTCTTAACTGAGTTTTTGAAGATATTTTTTTATGTTGGCACATGGATATTTGTGTTTGAGCTTTTTGAATTGCTTATGTTTAGTAGCTGAAGCTCGGGCTGAGAAGAGAGGTCTTGATCTGTGCAATGTGCCATTTATAATTCATATTGCACTTCTCCAGGCCTTTTTTCCCATGTCTTTATGTCGGCAGTATTTAGATAATCTGTTTGCAGTTTAAATTTCCTCTTAAATTTTATATTCTTTTAGCTTTAGATGTGTGTGACACGAAAAAGATTTGGCCTGCAGGTTGGGGGTGGTGCAATTTTTGTTTTCACATATTCAAATTGCACTTCACCCGGCCTGCTTGCTGCAAGCTTTTATCATCTCTCCAAAGTATCTCAAAACATTATTTTTTAGTTGATCATGATTTACATTTGATAAAAAATAAGATACCTAAGCTGTGTTTAAAAGTACCATATACAATCTCATGTAAATCTTTAAAAAAGGGGGACATTAAACTGAAATTACATACTTAATTATTCTTTTTAAACATTGTTTCCATTAAATTTCAATCTTGCTTTTATACAGTAGTTTGGTGTTTTTTTTAATTTTTAATTTTTTTTTAAACTATAGGATGAAGAACATTGAAAGTAACATGGAGACTGCCATGGAGTTTGCCCCTGAAAGCTTTGGTCAAGTTCATATGTTGTATGTTGATTGCAAGGTGAATGGATACCCTGTGAAAGCTTTTGTTGACTCAGGTGTGGTGCTCATTGTGGTAATTTCACTTATTAGTACTTTATGGTTCTTAACAAGTTCACATTTTCTTATTAAAAATCATGCATTGTTAGAAAAGTTACTATTCATAATTGGTGAAATAGTATTTATTCAGAACAGTCTGCATGCCTCAAAATTTTCCACTAAGGACTATTATTGATAGTTTTCTCACCTTCATTAAATCTTATAGAGCCTCTGGAAAGGGCATGTTTTCCTGGCTAAAACCTGCAATCATCAGGATCCTTGTCAGCTTTCATTTTGTTTTCTGTTATATTGATTATCTTTGTAATGAAATTATCTATTTGTTATTCTTATTTTATGTTCAGTTTCCCCTGATTTTTAATTACAAATTTTTTTTTTTTTAACTCTTAAGGTGCCCAAATGACAATAATGAGCCAACAGTGTGCTGAAAGATGTCATATAATGAGACTAGTGGACAGGAGATGGGAAGGTGTTGCTAAAGGAGTTGGAACACAAAAAATATTAGGCCGTGTGCATTTATGTATGTTGTTTTTATTGATGGTTAACTTTCTAAGGTCTATATTCAGCTTGTTTTGGAATTTAAAGGGTATACAAAAAATGTCAATATAAAATTACATATACTAGCCTTTTTTAAAAAAAAATTGTGGGGGTTGTTGATGGATATGAAGTCTTAATTGATGTTTGACTGCTTTTAATGCTCTTTTATTTTATTTTTTTCCTGTTTAGGTCAAATTCAAATAGGAAACGTATTTCTCCAATCATCATTTTCTATCTTAGAAAATCAGCCTATGGACATGTTACTTGGTTTGGATATGCTTAAAAGACATCAGGTAAAATGGTCTTCTCAATATCAAATAATTGTGTTAAGTTTCGGTAAAAGTGTTCAGATGTTCATCTAGTTTTTTTATTCCCCTTTTAATTTATATTTTTTTAATGTTCATTTTATCAACTTTTTCATCTACAGTTTTTGGGCCATAAGTGTTTTATGAAATTGTTAATGTATTCTTTGTTTTTATGTATATTGTGCAGTGTGTCATAGACCTCAGAAAAAACCAGCTGGAAATTGGAACCACCGCAACAATTACTCCATTTTTAGGAGAAGCAGATTTACCAGAACATGCTCGTCTCAATCAGCCCACTAATACATCAACTCAAGAGGAAGACCGGGAGTTAGCAGAAGTCCTTTCTCGTTCAGCTCAAGAAGCTTGTGAGTTAAACAGACTTGACTCCATAGCTTTAAACACGTGTTATAATTATGCTAAAAGATTTATTCGTCTGCTATTTACAACTTGCATGAACCTGGTGTTTAGAAAGATTCTTAGTAACCAGCGCACATTTGGTATATTTTTCTGAAGTGATAATAACTTATTAGTGAGTCTTAAAAAGAAAAAAAATGATATAGTCTTATCAATTAATAATCTATCACAATATAACTAATATGAGGAAAAATTAAAGAAATGTAAAGGAATAGGTGATATCCTGAATAAAGACCAAAGAAAACATGGACTTTTCGACTGAAAGCCTTGAACAACAAATATGACAGCAGAGAATGAAGAATAACAAGAGTATCAAACCACATCTTAGCATGATAAGAGTTAGGAAATGTTGAACATGATCTTTTTTAAAAATTAACCACTATTATTTAAATTTGTCATTTGTTCCAATACAAACAGAATTTTATAACAGATAAATTGAAACATGTTATTTTAGTTATATATATATTGATTCATTTTCACAGCTGGCTCTTCTTCAAACAAACAATCTTCACGAAGCCAACCTTCCACATCCCCACATCAGTTTTCAGAAGAAATAGTTGCTCGACTTATGAATAACGGTTTCAGCAGAAATGCTGTCCTTGAAGAATTGAGGCGCTCCAATGGCGATGCAGACCAGGCACTTGCAACATTGTTCTCCAAGTCGTTTAGTATGCCTTGACCATTTTGAAGCCTATTCTTTTTGGATTTTACCTGTGTGCATTATTTATTTGTGTATTCATAAATAGTGGGGTTGCCAAATTGGAGCACTTGGCCCCTTGGGAGGTAGCTGATGATTTAAACCAATGCTTTAAATATCAATTGCTGTACTTGAGTTATGGCTACATTTAATATTGTTCCCTTAAACAAAAATTGGCATGGTAACGTATCCTTACTAATTCACCTGTGCTTTTTTTTATGCTGAGTTGTTAAAGCTTTTGTTTGATGAAAACAACATGGACTCAAACTGGACTACAACAGACCTGTTTACTCTTACGATTTTGGGGTACAATGTTCGATTTTGAGGTGTAGGCATGTTTAATTTTTTTTTACTATAGATAGTGTATTGAATGATTTTGTGAGGATATTGTACGATTTTAAGAGTTTGAGGGTAAACAGTCTGCCTCGCAGATTTATTTATAAACTTTTCTTGATCCCTTTTGAGTTAATGTTTAGTTAATGCAGAATTAAATTGTTGTCTACAGGCCAAAATGAAAGATCTTCTTGTACAATACACTTATCTTAAAAGAAATCTGTGTGTAAGATGTGAGTGGGTCTTATTAATAAATAATGAAAAATAAGAGTGAGTTTCACTTCAAGTTCAAAACGCTTTTTTAAAAAAAGTATTTATAAAAAAAATTATATTTTAGGAACATATTTTTTTCCATAGAATGATTTTTATTGCACTTTTTTTCCATAGAATGATTTTATTGCAGATAAGTAAAGGTTAACATTAATTGTTGGTTTAAGTTAGTTTTGTATTATTATTTTTTATTGAAACTTGGCCTTTTTTCTTTCTGGATGATTTATCATTTTTCAAATATTTTACAGAAATTATTTTAGCATATTGGTGTCTTAGTTTTTCCAAAATAAAAATTTTTCGTTATGATAAATTAACCTTTAAATTAAGTCACAATCATAACATGTTCATGGAAAGGCATAACATTTGCTCATAATTAAAATGAAAAATGTTGACTTACATAGGGGTTAATTTGTACTTGATTGGGGGTAAAACTTAAATCTCCATAGAAAATCATCTTAACAAGATCATTAGATCTTTCACTTAACATTTTTTTTAAAATTATTATTTATTCAGTGTAATAAAATTTAAAAAACATAGTTTTATAAGATACTGTGGTTAAAATTATTTATTTCCCAACTTTAAAAACGTACATTGTAGAAGTAGAAGGGTGATACTGATACATGACCTGTTACCTTGTTAAACTTGTGGATCCTAAAATAGCTTGAATTAAAACTCCAGTAAGGTACCGAACTTGTAAAACTATTTATTCCCAAGCACATTCAACTATTTCTTTCCATTCTGATCTTGCAGTTTATATCCTTATGCTTTTGACAAAAACTATTGGTTAATTAGCGGTTGGTGTTGTTCCGAAAAGGGGCGGTGCAATAATACTGGTATTAAATTTAAATGACAATTTCCTCCTAAATCCCTGGTGTAGCTGTTGCTTCTTACGATTCTTTTATAGTGCTGCTGTATATATCTTATCTGAAAACGTCAGAGTTAGTGGGTGAGGGGATTACAGTAATTTTATTTTTTTTAATTATTATTATTATTTATACTGGAACACGAGTGTACTATTTGTTCAAAACATGCAAGTATAATTTTAGGCATTCACAACACCATTATTTATTTTAATTGCATCTTTTTATTTCCAGCTATGTTGAGCATTTAAGACTTTAGGCCAACTTCTAATGTGACCATATAATTTACAATAGACTTTCAGGACTACTTTTTGGTTTTATTTTAACAATTTTATATTTCTCAAAATTTTTAAAGGAATATTAACAGTTCTGTTAAGTACTTTCTATTATCCACTGAATAATCTCTATTTGAATTAAGCTAAGGGACATGCTAGTATGCAGCTTTTAGTAATAGGATTCTGTTGATATCATTCTGTTTTGTATTCTAATGAGTGATAGTTTTTTTGTATTTTAAAAGATTTTTAACTTTATTATTTATTCCTATTGGATAATTTCTTTTAATTTGTACTGCTTTTTTTTTTTATTTAACTTAAGTTTTCAAAAAGAAACTATTTGTTTAATGTTATATTTGTCTTGAAAAATGTTTGACTAGGGTGCCTCCTGTCTTTAAACATGATTTCTAAGTACATTCCTGTCTGCTCTTCAACATATCAAGATTTCTGTTTGTGTAATTTTACAAATACTTACTAAGCATACATCCTTATTCCTTCCCTTTCTTTGACATACTAACTAATATTGGAAATTATAATTTATATTGCTCAGTGGAAATTACATTACATGCTAACTTGAAGAAACCATTTAACAAGACATTGTGCTTCCCAGAGTGTTGATTCAAATTTGAGACTCCTTTAGATCCTACATTCAAGTCTTTGTATAAGATGCCACTAACAGATACATTTCTGAGCCAATTAAAATATTGAAAAATCTTAAGCCTTTGTCTCCTCAATTTCGATGAAAGTGGAAAGGATAAATTTAATCTGAATATTCTGTTACCAGACTTGGTGTGTATTATTGATAATCAGAATATTCTCTCACCTCACAGATGGTGAGAATTGATAAGTTTGAGAATTTTGACTGACGACATTTCCTATTTGTTCAATTTTTGTTATTCGCCTATGAACAATTTACATGTGTAATATTATTAAAGTTTTATATGCAAACATGATTAAAAACAACTTGTTATGGCTTTTTATTATATTTACCTGAGGTGTGACTTTTACAAAAGTCTTGTAGTGTAAGAGTAGTGAGACTTAAAGTGACTTAAGACATTATTTAAACTGATCACAACTCTAGAGAGGGTATTTGATGTATTCAATTTATTTATGTATGATCACATTACTTTACTGAAGTAGAAATCAAAGGACACATCGCATTCATTAATTAAAAATTCATTACAAGTACAAGCATCCTCACATTACTTTGAAAAACATTCTCATTAATAATTATTTAATTTTAATTAACACAAGAAATGAATATCAATTACCATACAATATTAAGTATAAACTTATAGATATGAGTGGAGTGCAACTACTGCTATGGCACTCACTAGAAACCAGTTGACTGCAATCATCTTAGAGCCCTGTAAACACAAAAATTAAGTTTTGATAATTATTATGGTAAAGAGTGCTAGGGCAACAATAATTGTGTTTTTTTTTACAAAATTCAGCACAAAAAAACATTCCTGAATAACCTTCCCTTGATCAACTTAAACTTTATGAATTTAGTGGTGGTGAAAAAGCATAGTGAAAAGTCTTGTGGCAAAGAGTGAGAAATATGTTGACCTTTAATAATCGTGAGGCATACTTTTATTCAAGTTCTAAAACTGCTTAAATCAACTGTTATATTGAACAATTTAGTTTTTTAATTTTAAAAAAGGTAAGTTTTGGTCAAAACCCTCTTCTTATTTTCAATTATTCTATTGTTGTGGCGATGAATTTTTAATAAATGGCCATGCTATAAGACTCCAAGAAACTATACTATAAATATATTTACAAAGAATGAGCATGAATGTTAATGTTCTTAATTAGGCCACTTCCCCCCCCCCCGCTGACAAACTGATTAATTTTGTCGGGGTGCGATGGCGGACCTGAGTGTTTAGACTGGAGATTATCCAGCCTGTATCTCCGGGCAACTTCCGGTTCATAAATCACCGTAAATGTCGCGTTAACAAAAGAGGTTCGGGTTGCGTTTCGCGGCCGTGGGAGGGCACTATGCTATGAGACAGTTTAAATGTCTAGAGGTACAAAATGAACCCTATTTATGAATAAAACAGTGCATTTAATTGCACCCGTCTTGCACTGCCATATGCAGATTCTGAGATGAGGAAAACTCCTAATTTATATATACCGGTATATCACCGAAAAGCTCGGTAAAAAAAAAAAACCTAATTGTTAATGGTCCAACTGTGACATTTTCTTGCGTCTTCCCATTGTAATACAAACTAGCATTGGATATATTGGTGTTAAATTATTTTTTATGCTAACGGGAAACAGACATCGTGACAGCAAGTTTGGAGGACTAGAATCATCCATTAATCTTTCTATCTTAACGCTCTACGTAGGAACAAAACTGTCCCTCAGAATGTACATGGCTAACCGAGGGGGGAAAAAAAGTAATCTAGATACTGGTAATATCGGGTTATCCTTATTGCATTAATTTGATATTGTGTGTCATATGTGGTGAGATGTCCGAATTTTTAAAAAAAATTGTGTATGATAGATGTGTTCTTGAGATAGTTTAGGGTGAACGAAACGCATTTTAGGCCACGGGCATAGGGTTTCTTTCAGCTATATCTCCGGGGTCCCCCCCCCCGGGAAAGCCAAGTGCCGCCCCCCACCCCCGAGCAAAAATATGTCCGACAATACATCAACTGGTACTGCTGGCACTTCCCCTTCCCCCACCCCCCGAAAAATCTGAAGTGCCCCCCCCCCCGGGAAAATTTCTGAAATAAAACAAACACTGGTTCTGCTGGCCCTTCCCCTTCCCCCACCCCCCGAAAAATCTGAAGTGCCCCCCCCCCCGGGAAAATTTCTGAAATAATCACTCCACGGGCAATGCTTAGATCCGGAGATCCACGTTATTATTTTTTCATAATATGAGCTGTACAACAACAAAATAATAAAAATAATAATTTATTAATTTTTTTTTTTGGTTAAAAACAAGTTTCTGCGTTGTTACTAGATAAACTATGAACATTGAATGTAAGGTTTGATTGGTGCACAGAAATCAACGTCTTGCCAATGGGCGGGTAGATAAACTATGAACATTGAATGTAAGGGTTTGATTTGGTGCACAGAAATCAACGTCTTGCCAATGGGCGGGTAGATAAACTATGAACATTGAATGTAAGGTTTGATTGGTGCACAGAAATCAACGTCTTGCCAATGGGCGGGTAGATAAACTATGAACATTGAATGTAAGGGTTTGATTGGTGCACAGAAATCAACGTCTTGCCAATGGGCGGGTAGATAAACTATGAACATTGAATGTAAGGTTTGATTGGTGCACAGAAATCAACGTCTTGCCAATGGGCGGGCTGGTTTTGAAAGCTAGCTTTGCTCTCTCTACAAGGTGGGCCAATAAAAGTGAGAACATCTCACAGCGTAATATTTTACGAGATGTTCTCACTTTTATTGGCCCACCCTGTACACACGAGAACATCGTGTTGAGCATTACCGAAAGTCGTGAAACGTATCAGTAACGAATACATATTCCTAGACCAAAGTGGGAAAACTTTGTCCAACAGAGCCACATTGCACTTGTGGTGGCTAAGGAAAAGTAAAATTAGACTAGCCACACTCTATATCAGGGTTGCCAACCGTCCGTAAATTTACGGACAGTCCGTAAAGATTTGTCGTAAAATTGCCTGTCCGTAAAATTCCGTTAAAAAAATCGACTAAACCGTGGAATCTCAACGTTTAAAAAAACCCAGTAAATCATGTTTGTGATCTCTATTTTCTTGATACAAATTTTAATTTTTAAATTGTTTTAGTGGCATCCCGCGCTCTATTAATAAACTGTAAGAGCTTTCTGGACAGCCAGGCTGTTCGTTTTAAGGTCAACATTTTATGTTAAATGTGTCCGTAAAAAATTGTTTTTGTCCGTAAATTTTGTTGAGAGTTCTTATATTTGTTAGTAAATGTTATTTTATTGAGTTGGCAACCCTTCTCTATATAAATCATAAAACACTACTAAATAACATTAAATGAAGAAGTAAGCCATTTAAACATATTTTAACCATCGAGGGCGGCGTATCTGCTAGTTCTTATAAATAATAATAATATGGACAGGAAATTACGAGCAAAAAAAAAAAAAAAAAAAAAAAAAAAAAAAAAAGAAAACAAAAAAGAAAAAAAAATCCAACTCAAAACGTATACTCATCTTTTCAAAGTTTCGATAAGAAAATATGTGCTTAAAATTAGAACATTTTACGATGAATCTAAGTTACAAACATTACTTGATTTATAAATATACTTTTTCCATAAACCCTTTAATTTTAAAAAACAAATTAAAGAGTAGCGTTGGTTTTATTTCAAAAGTGAGCGGGAAGTTGAACATTAGGCCTACTTGAAAATTATGGATCTTATTTTAAAAATCAATGAAAATTGTATTTGTATGTTTTTAATTTGCAATTTAGTGCTCTCCAGCGAAAAGTATAGGCTAGGTAATAGGAAGAAAACTGCTGAAAATGAGAAAGCAGGTTTACACTCAAATAACATATTGCAAATTTTTTTATTTTTTTTAAAGTAGACGAATCATAATTATTGTAATGGTTAATTGTATTTCACTTCTTTGATGACAAAATTTATTGTATGTAAGAAATAGAGGGCTTTGACGAAATATAGGGTATAATAATGTATGTTGTTGAATTAACATATGCACAATTTGTGTATGTTATATTTTTTAAAGTTATCATCATTTATATTTTGTATCGTTATATTTATTATTTTTTAGACTATAGAACAACCCAGAGGCGTAGCGAGAGTGTTTGACGCCCGGAGACAAGATTCATTTTAAAGCGCCCCCTTTTCTTTTTTCAACTCTCAACCCATTATTTTCATCAATGAAATATTATCAAAGCACCTTTCGGCGCCCCTAATTAGCTGGCGCCCGGAGACATCAGTCCCGCCCCTGCCCCCCCCCTTTCGCTACGCCTCTGCAACAACCTGTCAGTAACAAACCACCTGGCAACATAGACGAACAAAACCACCTGGCAACATGGACGAACAAAACTGCCTGGCAACGTGCTTTAACGTAGTGTGCAGACTTACGGAGTAGCCTGGTCCAGGGGGCCCGTGATGACCACCGTGGCCACCCTCCTCATGACCTCCACCATGCGCGTCACCGTGACCCCCACCATGGGCGTCTCCATGAGCATCACCATGGGCAGTACCATGGGCATCTCCGTGTCCACCCGCACTTGGAGCTTCATGTCCCCCCTGTGCCAAACGATGGAATGTAAAGGTTACAACTGTCCAGCCAGCTGATGACCATTATCATCTTGAAGCTAACAGACAGAAATATGACGCTTAAAGATATTGGGTACAATAGAAAAGGATAACGACGTATATAGGAGAGCTGGCTGACCTTTAGGGTGTACGACCTGTGCCTTCGCACAGGGCGCCGAGGCCATAGGGGCACCTGGTTAAATTCCCTTAGTTTATTATAGTGAAGTGTGTAACTCGGGTCTGGAATCGAGAAACGGTACTCTAACTTTTTGGTACGATCGGTTTTCATACAATGACAGTTGCATTCTTAATTTGGATACTAGCACTGGGGTTGGGACCAACCGAAAGTGCATGGAAATTAATTTATTAATACCGTATTTCATTGTCCCTCTTACAATTATTGCAGTAGAGAGAATATGGGGAACAAAAAGCTTATAAAAAAAGCTTGTAAGTTTAAGCTCTAGCCTACTTACATGTCCTGAGGTGTCGTGTCCACCTGTTAAATGAAATATTTTATTTTAAAACATTTGAAGGAAAAACAATATAAATTAGAAATTTATATTGATCAAGCATGTCTGCATAATCTATTTATGAGTTAGTCTACAATTTCTTATCAATCAATTTTTACGATATTCAGTCTTTTTTTGCATGTTTATGCAGAGATAACGGCAAAATGGTGCAGCCCCTGAGTGTAGGAAAGGTGTGTTTTTATGTTTGTTTGTTGT